TTAGCCTCAATAAGGGCTTTGGTTAATTTGAAAAGATGGTTTGCCTACTCTTCTGTGAACTTTCTCCCGAACCTTGAAGATTCAGCAGACACGGAGCCGAAGATGTGCATTAAAGATGAAGGTGCAGCTTCTGGTTGGGCTGAATCAAGATACCTGTTAACTTTTGCTTCAGAAGACTCTACGTCAGAAGGAGGCTCGCAATCTTCCATGTGTTGTTGTCTTAGTCTCGAGAGCTTTAGGCCTACAGCCTTGAAGGGGTGCTCCTCCAGAAGTGTTTATGTCAAGAGTTTTTCCTTCACTTTGGCCTCCTCGATAGGGCCTGTCTTAAGGTCTTCTTTGAATAGCTCCTTCAGTTGTTCCATTTCCTCCCTCTTCCACAGCTTTGGGGCTGCTTTAGTGTCCTTGAGTTCATCCTGTGGCTGATGAATGTCGCTCAATTTTAGGGCCACAAGTTTAGCTGGCTTGAGTCAGGGTCTTATGCTGGGCTAGGGCAGCAAGATGATCTTTTTCATCTGGCATGTGGACATGCATGCGGGTAGCAAGAGACTTCCCTTTAATTGTGGCAGATATTCTTCCCTCTGTCACATTCCCCTCTCTCTGGAATGTTTGCCATATGGATGTTGATATGTGGGAAGATGTTAAGGGCATCCCATTGCTTGAAACGAATAGCTGCTCAACCTGTGGGGTAGCTGCAGTGAACTGGCTTTGTACAGTTCTTAGGTATATGTCCATCATTTTGTGCCAATCGTCTTAGGCCCAGATAACCGCAGAACCATACTGGTCAGCCATCTTGTGGTTACTTACAAGTATTCTGAAATGAGCCTGGTCTTCGTCTGTATCCAGGTGAGACAATTCAGTTACAGTCATATTTGAAATGACCCCATGTCTTCCACTATTGTTGATGATGAGACGAGTCATCAAGCAATCTCTTACTCCGCAGTGAGTTCTGTCACTGATAATTCTTTGAACCTTGGTCCCCTGACTTGTTTTCTTTGACGAATTGCCAAGCTGTTTCACTGCATTTATTTGCTGATCACCATGGCAGATTTGGTAGAGATTTTCACTGGTGAAGAGTTTCTTGAAATCTTCGTGCTTCTGAAGCTTTCTTCTCAGAACTTTCTTTATTTGGGCTGATGACCAGGAACACATCAGATCCCTGCGGACGTTTAACGTGTCAATGCTTAGTTCAGTCGTATCGGGTTATCACTCTTGGGTCAAAAATTTATAAAATAAATGCAAACTCATAAGATATGAGTGCACAGTTCCAGGTTGGTACCTGGAAACAGCATGTGACAACCATTGCCTCAGAAGAGTTACTCCTTGTTTCCCGGAAAGCAGGAGCAGGTACACGGATGGTTTGGATTGTCTTGTCTGACTATCGTTTCATTCATTTGAAGCCTTCTTATGATGCTTGAAACCTGATTTTTATACTGCTGCACCATTTTTTCGCTTCGATATCCTCCGTCTACACCCGTCAACCATTCATAGAATTCTGTCAGCAGGGTTCCTGTGCCTAGGGCATTGCTTCCAGCTTGGTCTTTCGTCTTGATGTTCTTGTTTTCATTAATTTCGCAATCACTTGGGACCCAGTTTGTGTCTAATGCTTTGTCGTTATCACTCTCATCTCCATCGAGTGCCGCATGAAATGCCTCGTGTATACTGTCCTTGTTAACTTCGCAAACTCGTGTCAGTTTTTCAGCAGACTTGAGGGCACTTTTGAAAGAATAGCCATGAGATAATCTCCCATCTTTAAATTCCTTTACTGTTTCGTGCCAGTCTTCCTCATAACCAAGGAATGATCCCTTGCTGATAATTTCTTCCCCAATAACCAACTAACTCAGTCAACATTTCTTTGCAATCTTTACAGAGGGATGAGGAATGAACAGATGTGTCTGGTTGTGTAGAGGCTTTTGAGTCTGACTGTTCTTCTTAATTTCTGAAGCTCATCACTGTCATAAATCACAACTTGTTTGTTCTTTGTTCTTTACTGAAT